TTTTACGGCTCCTGCATAACATTTCGTAAGACTGTGTAAAACAATTTCCGACTTAACAATGATATATATTCGCATAGCATTATATTTTAGAATAGAGTGAATGCTTAGTTTAATTATGTTTGGCCAGGCCTTTCTTCAATTACTTTACTTAAATTGACAATTAGTTTTAAAAAATTTGAAGGTTTTCCAAAATCTCAAGGAAAATTTACGAGCAAGGGGCAAAATGTCCAAGCATGGGTACAAATGCTACTTAGGACTAAATTACAAAAATTAGTGGCGCTGGCTAAATAATATAGACAATATGAAACGATTGGGCGCGCTATGAATAATGATATAAGTAATATAAAACGATTAGACGCGGTAGCAATAATAATATAAACAATATAAAACGACCAGACGCGCTAGCACTAGAGGAAGGATACATACAATTGAGACAGTTTAAATATGTATTTGTAGGAGGCACAAAATGGCATCGATAAAAGCTACATGTTGAACGCAATTAATACTATTGAGATATGCCCGCAACACATGCAGAAAAATTATTGGGTATTATTGTCCTAATAGTGACACACACTAGTTACATACAGCACAGAGAGGGGACGTAGCGCTGATAGGCCCTTGTGCCGGCCAAAACTGTGTCAGGATGACCCACTAAAAGACAAAAAGCATCGAAATTCAGACAAAGTCTCACATTTGTATGAGTGTATGCTTACAGATACCCTGGAATTGACATAATGTGAAGTGTTTTGAGAGTCATGTGAAGGCAACAGAACTTATGTAACGCATACGTTTTTTTTTATAGTTTTTCATTTCTCGATGCGTCCTTGATGCGTCCCTCGATGTGTCGGAATATACCGCGTTTACCCTAGTAACTAGTTCAGTAGACAGTAGTTGTATCCCTATTATAATTAAACTCATATGGGCCATATAAATAGAACTACTAGCTAGACCAGTCTGTTAGTAGAGTCCAGGATAGAATTCTAAAAATTGAGGTTCATATATTATTTTCAATCCACCTTCACCACTTTTTTTATTCAAAAATTTCAGTTAAGATGGAAAGGATAAACTTGATAAAGATAGGAGGGATTAAAGTTACACTTGAAAGTTGAAAGAATCAAGAATGAAGGTTGCAATTTGCACTACTTCAAGATTTCAATCATTAGACTAAATAATAATTCATTAGCAATTTATCTCCAAGTCAAACACAACAAATTAACATTTATGAATTAATAACAAATTACACCACCAATAAGAATTGAACATGATGACTTTCAACTTTCAAGAGCAGAACAAAAGTTTACAAACTTTTCAATTCACTCACAGAGCTGTCAGAGCTGCAGTCCTGCAGACTGCAGAGCACAGTCAAATGAGTCAATCAATGCTAGATCAGTCAAAAGTCGCCACAGGCACGCACAGCTCCTCCTACAGCACAGCAGTATTCAAATGACTCAGTCTCATGTCACCGGCCATGAAAATAAACAATCTAATTCATGACCATAAGTCAGTAAGTGAATAACTTTTCAATGGCATTTGATTGATTTGAAACAGCATCGTAATTTAATAACGTGGCTAATCGAACGGTAGAACCCTAAACATTTTACGCCTTACGGTTTCTATTGAAAAGCGGCGAGTTTAGTGATCTGCGGAGAGGAGACTGCAGCAGAGTAGGCGACATTGAAGTAACATAAGCAAATCGCGTATTTAATGTGATGTGCGTAAACATGAACTGTCCAAGTTAAATTCATTGTCAATGCTTCTGAAGTTCTGCCAGCTATAGGCCATATATATTACAGGCACTTAGTAAGTTACTACATATAGTACATAACAAGAAAATAGCAAGCAATTAACTTGCGTAAAAACTTATAATTACACTTCGAGGGCGCCTTCCTTGGCTTAGAACAGTCCTTCTCTTCTTCAAGTTACACGTCCGTGCCCAGACTTCCGAAATCCGAATGGAGATTGGAGACAGTGAAGAGTGAAGACCGGGGAAAGGTCGATTTCCTCTTAGTTGGGTAAACAAGTTTAGAACAAGATATCATTTGAAGAACATTTTCATAAGTATGAAATTGAAAGATTCACATATAATTAGATTATTTCAACAAGTAAGAAAAACAGAAAGAAAAAATTATCAAATTCGAAAGTTGATCCTGAAGAATTCATCCATTGCGAAAGCAAAATTCAAATTGTAATTCTGCCCAAGTATTAGCTTTATAATCATTTTCTTTCTCATAAAGAAAACGAAGATATTTAATACAACTTAAAATTTTAGTTGTTTGAGCAATGTCAACAGTCAATTTAATACGAAGTAATTTTCATTTTCATAATATATGTGAAATCAAATCATGAGCGAGTGCCACGGCTTCTGGCGTCTACTGCACCATGCCTTATGATTACGCCCTTACGTAGCCGGCAAACACTGCCAGTTGATGTTTCGTGTGTGGTCGAGTAGACTGTGCGAAGTTTTTCTCTACGAAATGGTTAGTTTTCACCACAAAAGTGACTACGAGTGATATAGTAAATGCAGAACAAAATAATCTTAACTTCAATGATAACGCATAACATACCCATGAAATGTCATTATATAACTGCATCATTTTAATTGAATTAGATTGATCGATGATTGTCAAAAAAGTGTTTTTCCGTTCACAGCAATAGCATAAAATATGATTTCACATCGTCTCTTCATAAAGTGGCTGTGGCCTATGGGTATGCACCTCAAATATTGATTTTAGTGCTTCTGTTGACGCCCGGAAACATGAAATCGAATTTTTTTTAGATCAACTATTTTACTGAGAAACTGTTTTAGATTATGATTAAAGTTAAAAATGTTATAATAATAGGCTTAACATCCTTGGCCTGTATTCCTTTGATTTGCAATAATTTTAAAACAATCAACAAAGAAAGAGTAACGACGCTGATATTCTTTCTTGCCGACTTTTTGAAATGTGTCGAGAATATATATTATAGAGAAAAATGGTATTGAAAAATTTCCGCACACGTCCTGCAAGTTGGCACTAGATGAAGTAGAATACATTAAGAATATGCTAATTTAAATAGTACTGACAAGTGACAATGTACTTTGGCCTTGCAGCTTTGAGCTTCTGTGTTCATTGAAGATGCATGTTTGGCCAGCATTCTATTTTAACTATATTGAAATACTGTTGTTCAAATTAGTTATCTATATTTATATATATTTTAATTTACAATATCACAGACAGAGGTAATATCAAATCGTTTATTTATTACTTCTCGTAATGGTGATTAGAATAAATTTTCAAACATATTTTGTAAGATCTAACGTTCTAATTTAAATTGCATTCGAGTGCTGGATTATCTTTAATCCCTTTTTAGTGTTCAAATGTGCATTAGTTTATGGTCGTGATACATTTACAGAAATGCTGAATATCTGTTATCCATTATGATAAATTTGACAAAAGCTTATAATTCTCGTAATTGATCACCGAGATACTATAGAACAAACAGTCGGAGATAATTAGAAGGATGAGTGACCAGAACAATGAGATAACAGATTGCGATAAGAAAACTATACATTAAAGAACCTATCGAACAAATAAAGTAACATGTAAATAAATATTTGTGCGACTTATTTAATGGTGAATGGGAGTACTTTATCGGATGTTATGTAATGATAGAGGCGATTTGTAACAAAAATTACTTATCATATATTAGAATAAGTTTGTGATGCCATCAGTTATAGGCAGCCTGGCCCAGTGTTTACAGTTCAGAGCACCATGATTAGAGATCTGAGGTACGGGTTCGATCACAGCTTCCTGTGACAGTTCTGGTCAAAGGTGAGGTTGTCGAGCGGTTATGCACAGTGGATATTGGAGCAGTGACTTGCGTGTTCGAGATCTTCAAGAAGCTGTGATAATTTAGCGATGTTCAGAATCGGCGACAGGCCTGATGCAAAGTACATTATCTAAATCTTATTGCACATTATAAAAGTCTGTTTATTAAAGATTTGCAACGCTGACATCGCTATTATTAATTCAATGTGTGTAATTGGACGATCACGAGCCACATACAAAATGAAACGAAGACATTGATTATTAACAGTAAAAGGCGCTGTTAAGCAATTAAGACACTCATGCAATTTATAATTGCCTGGCATACCATACACGCAGAACAATGAGTGATAATTTGTCCAAATGGCGATGCAGTTCTTTCGTTTCGTTGTGTAGGTCAAGATGATCCAGTATGGCCCGGCATAAGGACATTAATATCAACATGTGTACTATATAAACTATGTATTTTATGTGTAGTCATTGGGTGACTGCTCCTGACGAGAATACGAACGAACGCAACGTATTACGTAATTACGAATACATCATGCAAATTACGAATACATCATGCAAATTACGAATACATCATGCAAATAGCGAATATGTCATGCAAATTACGAATACATCATGCAAATTACGAATACATCATGCAAATTACGAATACATCATGCAAATTACGAATACATCATGCAAATTACGTATTACGTTCCCTCGTCAAAGTTCAACTATTAACGCGACGCACGACGGGATTTGTAAATGGCTGACGAGTAAATCTACACTCAATAAAATGTAGACGCTGTCCATGTAGCGATGCACTTCTTGCTCTTGTCTGGGTCATCCTGACTCAGTTTTACCCGGTCAAAAGAAGGTATCAGTGCTACGTGAAGAAAGTGTGTCACTAATTGGATGTGACCCATCCATTTATTTGAGTGTAGAAGTCTTATATAATCCGAACCAAATCAATTTTTTGACTAAATAAATGTTTGATTTTAAAAATGTTCACGCTACGTTATCATCATCATGTAAGGCGATATAAATTTTACTCTATACACGGCGTAACATCTGCTAATTAGTTCTATTTCATTATTAATAATAATCATTATTTCATTATTATCAATAATAATATTAATAATCGGAAAGAGGACGTAAATGTGTGTCAGTTGAAAGTTGGCATAGTTAAATTTAGTTCAAATATATACTCAGAGATAATATATAATGCATACTAACATACAGTGAATAACATTGGACAAATTTGTTTCTAGAGAGATATTGATCAACATAGACATGTTTGATTAACCTTTAAACTTTGAACTCCTGACAAACGTAATTTTTTTTTATAAAACGTGTGAGTGCAATCGTGAAGCATCAGGCTCTTGTCGATGTACATGAAATTTAAAGCAAGACCGATCCTTCATTTCAGTGAACAACTACAGCGCAGTCAGGTTTAGTCTAATATTGATTCAAGTATCAAGTCATGCTGCCGGTAAAACATGTTTAATTATTTTTATAATACGATAGAACCTTGTCCATCTGCGTGAGTTAAGGAGGAGAACATATTTATATACACAGTTATTTGTATCATACGATAAAACCGTGTCCATTCTTGTGAGTTCAGGAGGAGAACATATTTATGTAAATAGTTATTTGCATCACTGCCATCATACGATAAAACCTTGTCCATCTGTGCGAGTACAAGATGAGTTGCACGTCCCTCCATCACATCGAGATGTGTCTGGCGGATTCGTCGCAAGCTCAACGTCTGTTCGTTGACGGCTTAGGATTTAGAAAACTAGCGACCAGAACTACAGCAACTTGCCATCAAACTGTCTTAGTCCAACACAACACAGTGCTGGTGCTGACTCAACGAATCTCTGATCACCAGCACGCTAATCACAATTTACATCATTCGGATAGACACTGCAACGGTTTCCTTGATAAGATCTCAAATGGATGTGGAGGTAATGGTGAGGTAACTCAGGTTTCTGATGGCTTTGGCGTTGACCATCGAGATCTGGTGACTACCAACGATGAAAAGACAGAGAAACCACCTCTCAGAAGCATTAATTTATCACAGAATTATACGAACGATGTAAAGGTTGTGATTAATAACGTCAATGCTAACAAAATATCTTCAGACTCGTGCAATAACTTTGGTTTAGAATATCAAGCCGAAGAAGATTTTACGGTCTTCTGCTGTCAAGAAGAAAGATGCCATACAATCGATTCGGTCTTCAACGTGGCGGTCGTTGTAAAGGAAGTTGAAGATATCACAAGAAGAGCCGAGAAAATATCTTTGGTTTAGAATATCAAGCCGAAGAAGATTTTACGGTCTTCTGCTGTCAAGAAGAAAGATGCCATACAATCGATTCGGTTTTCAACGTGGCGGTCGTTGTAAAGGAAGTTGAAGATATCACAAGAAGAGCCGAGAAAATGGGAAGTCAAGTGATCAAACAACCTACTGTGATATCAGACCAGCATGGCGAACTCAAATACTCTATCATTGCCACGGGTTTCGGAAATTGTGTTCACACTCTCATTGACAAGTCCAGGTACAGCGGCAGCTTCCTTCCCGGCTACACACTGTGTGAACCTGAGGTCAACGGGACGTCAGCCTCACCAAATCAGGTGACTTCAATATTTATGGGTTAGAGTTTTATTAGAACAAAGGTTTTCATATTAAAAATGTGATTTCATCACAAGTTTGATTGCGCAATTTCATCACGACCAGCGTAGCGACAATGTGTGATGATGCGTGCTAAGTTTAGATCCGTTCCGGGCTTCTTTCCCCACGTAAACGTTATTCTCTTCATCATGTCATTCCTCCCACCCTGCATCAATGCTGGTTGAGGTGTGGTCATCCTCAGGATGCAGGATGTCCTTTCATCACCACGAATGTTGATTGCGGTGTGACCATCCTCATAATGTAGGCTGTGCCCTCATCACCCTGAATGTTAATTGCGGTGTGGCCTCCCTCAGGATGCAGGTTGTCCTCTCACCACCCACGTGGACCACGTGGCCTACATCTGCGATGAGGGCCAGAGTCCCGAGCTGCTGCGTTGGTACGAACAAGTCTTCGGCATGAAGCGCTTCATCATCAACAGGTTATTAGGAAATAATACCACATTAATGCTGATTATTATATTTTAATAATACCACATTAATGCTGCTAATAATATGCTGCTGATAATACCACATTAATGCTGATAATTATTTTTATTTAAATTAACATCAGTTGGAATTTATTCTTCATATTCAGAATAATGTATAGATTATATTGTCCAAACAGTGACACGCTTTCCTCCCCACATCATATCAGAGTGCGTCTTTTTGCGCGGCCAAACTAGGTCATGATGACCCATGCATGAGAAAACGTGCATCACTAATGGGAAAAAGTGCCACTAATTTCTCTGTGTGCACACTCCCCCACAGGGACGAGTGTCCCGACGAAGGCCTGCGTATCGGGGAGGGCGTGGGGCTGCGGCTGCGGGCGCTCGAGTATTGGAGGTGCCACGAGACGGGGCTGTCCTGCCCCAGCGGGAGGGGCGACACCTCCCTTAAGATGGTCATTGGGGAGCCCATCACTGCGATAAGTGAGTCATCGGGGAGCCCATCACTGCGATAAGTGAGTCATCGGGGAGCCCGTCACTGCGATAAGTGAGTCATTGGGGAGCCCATCACTGCAATAAGTGAGTCATCGGGGAGCCCATCACTGCGATAAGTGAGTCATCGGGGAGCCCATCACCGCGATAAGTGAGTCATCGGGGAGCCCTTCACTGCGATAAGTGAGTCATCGGGAGCTGGCAGCCACTACTGGCCTAATGGTAGTGGCTGCAACTACTGGCTGCTATAGACTTTTTACTACTATTTGTCGCTTTTAGCCTCACGTACAAGTAACGTGGTGCTAGGAACATATTACGACTAACGTAGTAAAACGTAATTTACGATAAACTTGGTCCATATAGGGTAATATAATATATAAATATAAATTAATATTAATAAATTACATAATATACGAGGAATTTGGCCCATATAGGGTAATATAATATATAAATATATTTTAATAATAGTATATAACGTAATATACGAGAAACTTGGTCCATAGAGGGTAATATAGTATGTAAATATATATTAATATTAACATATAACGTAATATACGCAAAACTTGGTCCATATAAGGTAATACAATATATAAATATATATTATTAATAATATATAAGACAATATACAAGAAACTAGGCCCATATAAGGTGGAACATGTATCAAGTCACGTGCCATGTTTGATCAGAGGACAACCACGTGAGCGCGTTCCTCCGCCACCACCGCGGCCCTGGCCTGCAGCACGTGGCGCTGCATGCGCCGCGTATGGCGCGCGCCGTGGCGCACATGGCGCAGCGCGGCGTGCGCTTCAGGAAGCCGCCGCCAGAGTACTACAAACATGTACGTTAAATATTTATCTATTAAGTACTACAAGCGTGTACGTTAAATATTTATATACTGTGTACTACAAGCATGTACGTTAAATATTTATCTATTAAGTACTACAAACATGTACGTTAAATATTTATGTACTAAGTACTACAAGCATGTACGTTCCAGCGCGCTGGTACATTACTTTCAGGATAAGGGATTCTGAATATTAAATATAGTTACTATTTATTCGAGAACGTCAATCAATAAGGGTGGCCCAGTGGTTACAGTTCAGAGTACTAGGATTAGAGCACTGGAGTGCGGGTTCGATCCCAGCTCTGTGCGTCAGTTTCTGGTCAGAATCGGCAAGGAGGCCGGGCGGTTAAGCAAAAGCAGAATTGTAGCGGTGAGTTGCAAGTTCGAACCCGCACCAAGCTGTGGATGTTCGGCGATGTTAAGAATCGGGGTCAGGCTTACGGCCTAACAATCGCCGAAACTGCTATATCATGTATATTATTATTATAATTAGGGCAAATGATTATTAAGATATATAATCATAATGGAGTCTTGTAATCATAATGAAGTCTCAGAACGAAGTGTTTTGTTGGTGCTGCCAGGGAGGCAAGATGGCGGACATGCAGCAGGTAGGACTGGGCGAGGAGGCCGCCGCTCTGCAGGACGCTGGAGTCCTGCTCGACACCGANGAGTCTTGTAATCATAATGGAGTCTTGTAATCATAATGGAGTCTTGTAATCATAATGGAGTCTTGTAATCATAATGGAGTCTTGTAATCATAATGGAGTCTCAGAACGAAGTGTTTTGTTTGTGCTGCCAGGGAGGCAAGATGGCGGACATGCAGCAGGTAGGACTGGGCGAGGAGGCCGCCGCTCTGCAGGACGCTGGAGTCCTGCTCGACACCGAGGCCGATCCTGCAGATCCTGGAGAAGGACTACAACGTGATAGGTGAACCTGATGTCTTGGTTGAAGTTTCAAGCTGATATATGTTGAACTGGAATTATCAACTTCTGTTGTTGATTTACACGGCCTTGAATCGATCCCGTCAAATGGGGTGACTTTGGCCATCGAGTGACTGTCAACGGGTGATTTTGATCACCGGGTGACTTTAGCCATCGAGTGGCATTGCCAACGGGTGATTTTGGTAACTGTCTGATTAAGGCCAACACTTGTATTTAGTTTTCACGCCAATCTGCATTCATTTAAACTTTTACACAATACTGTAAATGCTATTCAGGATATTAAATAACACATAATTTGAAATATGAATGATTTTTGAAAACTTGGTTTCCGAATATCTCATCAATATATTGAGGCTCCCTGCCATTGCTAGGTTAGGGAAACCTCTCCCAACTGGTAGCAGAGAACTGAAACTATATATCAATATGTTCCACATATTAAATATTAATTTAAATAATTCAATCATCATATTAAATATTATTATTTATCATATTAAATATTAATAATTCTTTATACGTTATCCAGCAGGTATCTTCTCCAGATTTTCTCTGAGCCCATCTTCGGCCGCAACACGTTCTTCCTGGAGCTGGTGCACCGCATGGGCGCTCAGGGCTTCGGCGTGGGCAACATAACGGCCCTCGCCCGCTCCATAATACTGCACCAGCAACACAAACAGCAACAACAACAACAACAGGAACAGCAACAACAGAAAAAACACCAGCAACAACATCAGCAAGAGCACCAGCAACACCAACAGCAACAACAACAACAGGAACAACAACAGCAGCTACACCATCAGCCGCAGCAGCATCAGCAACAACAGCAACAGCAGTAGGAGCATCAGCAGCAGTAACAACACCACCAGCAGCAATAGGAGCGGCAATAACAGCACCAGTAACAGAAACAGCACCAGCAACAACTACTAGACTACGAGCACCATCAGCAAAAGAACCACCAACAAAGGCAACAACACTAGGTACAATATGAACAGCAGTAGTACCAGCGGAAACAACTGCAGCAACATCAACAACAGCACCAGCAGCAGTTAGATTTAGCTTACCAGTAATAATGCTCCCATAACACCCGAAAACTGTTCAAATCCTTGCACTAGAAGCGATTAAATAAGCATTTAAATTAGAGCAGCGGAGGTAGAACTCTCATGAAAAATGTAAATTTTCATACTTTACGAAAAAATTACGGAGCCTGAAATAATAAATTTTTAAGGCAAAAATTATAAATTAAATTTCTGAATAAAATTTAAATTTGGCATGCCGCCTTCAAAATTTAGCAGGGCTTCAAGATGTGGTTATCCACTTGATTTATTTGTCATCATCGAGGACTTCAAATGAATCATAAATTAAATCTTTAAAGGATAATAATGTGATGAATTCGTTAAACTGAATTTCAGGAAATTTTTGGCTTGGTTTTGCAGATTTTTTTTACCGTGTTTGGGACCCGCTTGAGTACACGTAGCGGTTGATTTCTCGCCTGTGATTGATGGGTTTAGCGTCAAAATCCGTCAAAAATTGGCTGAAAATCCGACAGTGATTAACACCGATTGGTTAAAAATCCATCAGTGATTGGCTGACGGAGTTACGAACTATTTTTAATACGACGGCATAGTAACTGCAGTGAGTCACGTAGGTTTATTAACTAATGACGAATTTCAACGCTGAAGATCGTATTAACAACTTTGTCATGAAACAATAAAACATGAAAATGTACAGCCCTGTTGTAAATTTTTGAAATAAATTGTGAAAACTTTTCAAGTGTTTTTAAGAGAACAAAATCTCTTTTGTTATTCTGAAATATAATTCTATGCATAAGCAGGAAAAAAAACTTATCAACGCAAACGTCCAATATGCAAAAAAAATAAAACTCAGTATTCATTGCAGTGAGTGACAGAGAGCGCATTTTCTCGTCGACGAAAACGTGAAGTCACGGACAGACAGACAGACATGACGAGCACAATAGCGCCTTTTTTCCATCCATAAATGAGAAAATGCGCTAAAAAATGCAGTCGTAGTGTCGCCAAAAGTTACTGTTACAAGAACTATAACTACTCAGTAGTTAAATATTTACCCCGCAAGTAAGGAAAGTTCTTCCAGTTTGCTTAAGGAAGACAAAATTGCACACTCAAATCTATAGCTATAATGAGATGTTACATTCAGAAAAATTAATGTGTCAAGTGCAAAAAAAAAGATACTGATTTCTTACTAATTCACCATAGGACATGGCCGAACTGAGTCAGGATGACCCGCGAAAAAGTGCATCATTCCGAGACAAGATCCTGTCATTTTGCGGCCTCCGCACAACATTTCTCCCTACACTGTGTAAAACATCTTCAGACTAAACAATTATATATATTTGCATAGCATGATATTTTGGCATAGAGTGAGTTCTTAGTTTAATTAAGGTTTGGCCGGGCCTTTCTTCAATTAGTTAAGTTGGCAATTATTATTTAAAAAATTTGATGAATGTGTTCCGAAATCTCAGGGAAAATTTGAAAGCAGTTAACGAAATTTTCAATCTAAGTTCGAATAAAAAAAAAATTACAAAAATCAGTGGCGCTGGCTATAATGATATAAATAATATAAAACGATTAGGCGCGGTAGCAATAATAATATAAGTATTATAAAACGATTAGGCGCGCTAGTTACAATAATATTAATAATATGAAACGATTAGGCGCGGTAGCAATAATAATATAAGTATTATAAAACGATTAGGCGCGCTAGCTACAATAATATCAATTATATAAAAAGATTAGTCGCGCTCGCACTAGAGAAAGGATACATACAATTGAGTTAGTTTAAATATGTATTTGTAGGAGGCACAAAATGGCATCGATATAGAAGCTACATGCTGAACGCAATTAATATTAATGAGATATGCCCGCAACACATACAGAAAAATTATTGGGTAATATTATCTTAATAGTGACACACTAGTTACATACAGCACGAACAGAGAGGGGACGTAGCACTGATACGCCCTTGTGCCGGCCAAACTGTGTCAGGAAGACCCAAACAAAAAAAAAGTGTATTGAAATATAAAAAAGTGTATCGAAATTCAGACAAAGTCTCACATTTGTATGAGTGTATGCTTACAGATACCCTGGAATTGACATAAAAAGAAATTATAACTTAGCAATTTAGAGCGATTTAATTAAATTTTATTCATTTCAATATAGAATGAAATGAAATACACTAATTTATTCTAAGACATTTAAATGAACTCAACCTAAAGATATTGGCGTATATTGAAACACGGCAGCCAATATGCACGAAACAATATCATTGTATATTTTACACTTAAACCCAAAATCATTGAGTGGTCCATACAATGATGGTGATTCACATACATTGCCGATTGATGAGAGGTTATGGAAAAATTCTAAAATGTGAGATTATTACACAATAATGAATAGCAACTACAATAAAATACAATACAAGCTGTTCACATTCAATATAATCATACCTTCTACTCATTCATGCATTATATACAATCATACATTCTACACATTCATACATTCTAATTTACACATTCATACATTCTACCCAGTCATGCATTCTACAAATTCATGAATTATATACATTCAAACATTCTACACATTCATACATTCTACCCAGTCATGCATTATACACATTCATACATTTTAAATGGCACCAACCTATGGGCACTAGCATTGCTAAGTGGCAGCTTTGGCAGGGAAAAGGTTCGTGTTTTTGTATGAGGATTCCAAGAGATTTTTAAAAAAAAAATAGAGACTCTAATAACTGAACATTTATGTTCAGTTGATATTCATCATTATTTTTATTTTTCAGTTGATATTTATATATATTCATGTATAGTTGCTATCGCCATATCAATTTATCATTGATACAATGTTATCGAGACATCGATAATTTCATATGGAACTTTTTGCAACGACATTGACAGTTTAACAAAATATTCTAAAACTAACAGTGTTTATGAAACAACTGCATACTCTCGTTGAGGGCCAAATGAAATAAGATAGAATTTAAAAATATACAATTTTTTTTAACGTAAACCAGCGACTGAACGAAAAATTTACCATAAATTTAAAAAACTCAAACACAGGGACCAGAAATGGGGGGAACTGACGACTAGAGCACGCAAGATGTAAATATTGTTGACTTATTTAATTTAAATTTATTTTATTTAAATATTATTGACTTAACTAATCCATGGAGTCTCACAGACTAGTGCATATCACGGTGATATATTCAGGCAACACTCAAAAAAATGAACGTTCCAAGTTGTCAAAATTGCGACACGTTCTCTGCGTGTTGCACTTGTATGATATTTTGCCAGGAAAAACTGAGTCAGGATGACCCATAGGTGGGAAAAAATGTATCTTAATTTGGACAAAGTCAGATAACGTGATCACAAACACGAAATTCTGCATAAAGGCGAAAAATTCGAATAATCTATAGCTGTTATTAATCCGTTAATCTTAAATGACTTAGCTCTAGTTAACAATTGAAAAACCTGTTTTTGTGTATAGAATAATTTTAATCACCATTTAATTTTGTTATTACTAACGGCATTTGTTTTATTTTGTCTAATTTTAATACTAGAAATTTGGATTAATCCACCACGCAGCCAGAGAAATTATCACGGCAGCGTTACAATAAATAAAAGGCAATAGAAGATATGTATTGGTTGTAGATCAAATCATGTGTGAATGTTTATCAAAGCTTATCAATAGACTAACCTTATCATTAGGTTAACCTAAGAATGGCACCAGCAATCTTGTGACTCGCCATATCACAATGGAAGCTATCGACTATATTGTATATATAATATTGACTACGTATATAGTATTTATATATTATGATTCTTATGTAAACAATAGCTATTCACACGCACCTGAGTGATATAACTTCCTAGACCTCATAAAAACTAGTGAAAATTACTGGGCCCATACTTTCAAAAAAAGTTAAGAGTTCGTAAGTTCATCAGCCAATCATTGACGGTCTTTCAAGCAAAATCCACCAATCATAGACAAGAAAATAGAGCGTAAGTACTTACGTTCACTTAGCGAGTTTTGAAAGTATGGCCCCTGATTATTAAGTTCCTACTCAGAGGAATGAGTGAGATTTTGTGAAAATAGTGCTACACCTTTCATCCATATGTGGGTCATCGTGACTCATATACGTTATTCTTGCAGCGTATCAGTGCTACGTCCGCTCTCTGCTCGTGCTGCGGGCGAGAGTGTCACTATATGGACAATTTGACTCATTAATTTTCATGTCAGTGCCATGGTTCACTAGCAATAGAATTCACATAAATCAACAAACGAGCGTCAATTAAACGTTGAAATAACGTTAATTAGACGTTTTTTGACGTCATTTGCCTGGTACTATAATTTATCTAGAGATAGAAACAGTGAATAGTGTTGTTTAAAAATGTAGGATCTGTATTATGTACGTTAATAGTGGCCAACTGATGGACACGACAGTTGGCAGAGCGTCTAGAGGCCAACTGATGGACACGACAGTTGAGAGAACGTCTAGAGGCCAACTGATGGACACAACAGTTGGGAGAGCGTCAAGAGGCAACTGATGGACACGACAGTTGGGAGAGCGTCTAGAGGCCAACTGATGGACACGACAGTTGGGAGAGCTATCATCATCATAATGATACATCAACATCATAATGATACATCATCATCATAATGATACATCATCATCATAATGATACATCATCATCATAATGATACATCATCATCATAATGATAAATCATCATCATAATGATACATCAACATCATAATGATACATCATCATGATGATACATCATCATAATGAAACATCATCATAATGATACATCATCATCATGATGATACATCATCATAATGAAACATCATCATAATGATACATCATCAGATGAAGACATCATAATGATACATCATCAGATGAAGACATCATAATGATACATCATCAGATCAAGACATCACTATGATACATCATCAGATCAAGACATCACTATGATACATCATCAGATCAAATCATGTGTGAATGT